AGGTAGCCCTACAGGACCATAGTAACACTATCCACCTTTGTAAAACACACACAATATGCCTAGTAAGACCATCCACTTGTATAAACACTACTCTTAGTAACACAATTTATCTACAGAAATATTACCCTTAGTAACAGCAAATGCCTATAGCAACAGGCCCTCTGGTAACGAACTGTGATGTCAACACCTCCCCAAGACAATGGTGTATTCTGGTGTCACTTTGTGGACCACTCAGACAGTCACACCCTCTGGTGCCTATTATGTAACAGTTATGTAACCCTCAGGTGTCAGATTTAATGTTTTACTTATAAAGAAAAACTGTAATTGTAACAAATGCAAAATCAAAGTTATGTAAATTAGATTAAATTATTATTTTCAAGTCTTTGATTGTCACTATAAAGTTAATGTCATGTTGATCTGCATCACCCTCTGGTGGTTTGCTCATCACACCAACAAGCTCTCTGGTATAACTTCATGGCCCTAGCGATGTGCCCTTTAGTGCCACTTGGTTATACTATACCATCATCGCCCTCTGGTGGCTACTATATAACAGTTATGTAACCTTCAGATGAATATATTATGTAAAAGTTATGTAACTCTCAGGTGTCAGTATAATTTGTATATTATGTAATAGTTGTGTAACCATCAGGTAGCATCTTTTGATTTCCTCTCACCTGTCGTCCCCCATTGAGGTAGAAACCTTTGGGTACCCAAGTATCTCGATAACTATTCTGGTGAACATGATTCATAAGCTAGTGAAGCAATTATATCTCGAGGAAGTTTCAAGACAGGTCTACCGTAAAAGAAAAGCTCATGAAAAACACCAAATTGCTAGCATTTGTTTTATATTCACCATACAATTATTTCTGAGTAAATTTTAGGAATACTGTAATCAATAAATTTGATTATATGTTAAATGTAGTACATGTATGTCCCCAAAAATTACTACTATTGTAGAAAAAAGCTAACAGTATGCTTTGCAGTACAAGATATATGTAAACAAAAAGTATACTTGGCAGTATAATAATATAACTATTTAACAACAGCATGTTTGGTAGTATGGTAAGATAACTCTAAAATATCAATTTTCTATAAATTGAACATACATGAACTGTATGCTGATTATTGTTACTTTTATATATGTTACAATAGGAGTGATGTCATGCTCGTATTGTTGGAGAGCTGCTGCATGATCATTTGTATGTAGATATGCAGAAGTGGGAGGTGGAAAGCTAGTGGCATGCATTGAAAATTTGCGCTGATAGAGGGAAGTGCTAGTTGAGAAAAGCTATTTTGTGAGAGGACATAAAATATCGTATTGGAAATGCATCTTCTTACCATGTTTAACACGAACTATTAGCTAACAAATGTGTATAACCTATTCTTATTAACACATTATGTACTTCAGGTACATAAAATTATGCTCTCAGCAACTCACCATTAAGCTTGAGGGCTTATAACAATAAAAATCATGTTTTGATACCCATAGTGGGCATAGTGCAGTAAGCCCATTAAGTAGCTCTGCACTTAAACACAAACAAACAAACTTATTCTTTGCACATAGGGCCACTAGAAAAACACTTCTACTGCAATTAAATTATAATCTTCAATCTTACAAAATCATCATTTTTATTTTTCATCTCTATCATTACCTGAGAAATAACAACGATCTTTTATTTCCTTGTAACACACATTTTGCTTAAATTACATGCCATTGTATTTCTTCACAGAATCATTGTTCATTCTATGGAATATAAGCTGCTTATCTGTGTTATCTGGGTACCTGCACATTCAAGTGTTATAAATTAATCATTAATACTTAGAACACGTTTTCAACATTAGTCATGATTTGGGTATTGTACATAAACATCACCTTTAGTAGCCAAATTTATTTAATATATGTATCAGTTTACAATCATTTTAAATTGTCATTAGATCACTACATGTCCTTATGAAATCACTATTATGCTAACCTAACAGATAAATGAAATGTAAGACGTGTATTCTCAAACATAAATTCAATCTAACCTTACACATAGCACTCATGTTGTGAGATATTATGCATTGATAATTAGGCTAATTCAATAAAAAGAATTAAGTGTATATTTCTCAATTTCATCCTTTAAAAGTTTAGTTATTTAAGGTAAAATTCACATTTTCAAAGTATAGGGTTTCACTATAAAAATATTAGTTTATTGGATATCCCACAACAACACACAAAGAAGGTTTCCAATAATTATTCAACTGCATTTTCAAACAACTCTGCGATACAAGACATCCTTTGAATATATATATATTAATTTATAAGTACAACTGATAAACCATAAACAACTTCAGATGTTACCAATGAGCAATGCAGTTTCATGTCAGTAACAATTTTTAAATCTACCAAAATTCATTTGTACATCAATATATCATATCAAAAGTAATCTTTTTTAACAAAAAAATACATATTGGTGTATTTTTTTCTCAATCATATTTTAGTATATTACCATGTCATTGGATCTGACTCATGAGACATTTTAGCACTGGGTCACCTTCTGTGAAAAAAAAAAAGTTGTAAATGCTACAAAGGCAATTTAAGTAATTTACACAATATGCAGGTAACTGAGTATATGCAAAAAAAAAATACAAAAACATAAGTTATGTATTCATAATCTCTTTCAACCACAAAAAACGCCTAATTTTCTTGTGTGGTGTATACCACTGACAATTATGAAATAGGAATCTTTCATGGTAGCAAATGTGAGAAAACATCACAATAAAACTATAATAGCCGACACAACTTGATTTCTCAATGCACAGCTTTTTAAATATATTTTGTATCTTTCAGGTCACTGTCAGTAAGATCTTTCACCAAATACCAGAGATAATGTGAATTGTATGTTCAAAGTCTAAGTCAATTATTACTTAAGATTAATATTGGAAACATAAAACTTAGTGATGTATAGTGGTAGACCTACAAAACCATGATCTTTTCATTGGTTAGGAAAGTAACGTAACAACATAATAATATTTGCAACTGACAATCCGAGTCTTTTAATTAAATTTTGCAATGCAATGAGCTTTGTTCTTAAGCAAAGAGCTTCACTGAAGAAATTTTAATAAATGAAAACAACAAAAACTCACTTAAGATAAAGTGTGACTAATGTAAACCATTTCGGTTTTCGAAGATGTTTTTCCTCTGGCAAATGAATTAAAAAATAAAATTCTCACATAAGTTATATGCAAAATCAAATTACATGTACAGAGAACAAGATAACCATAAAGTAGATTAACAGTAAATATCTGATAAAATCCAAAAGAAAATTAAACTGAAGATACAAATTTCCACAATTCCAAAGGTTTGAAATAGCAAATGACTACTGTTTAGATTTCTGGATATTTGTACAGCAAGCCTTACATGCATCCAAAGATTTCCAAAACTTGCAAAGAAAGTACACATATATATATGTACTCAATAATGACACTACTAAGCCCACTTATATATATACATATAAATGTAGATCTAGAATAAGCAGTTTCTTCATAGATTGCATACAAGCACTACATTTAATATGGAGTAGATACTTGAAGGCTGAAGTCAAGTACAAGATCCTATAAACCTGTGAGATACACCTATACATACACTGAATACAAAGCAGATATTTTGAAGCTTGCAATACGAAACCATCTGTAACTTAATTCTTCAGTAACCTTTTCATCAACGAGATAGATGATCCACGATAACCTCCACCAAAATGGTTCCTATGTAAACAATAACAATTTACTGAAGCATTTATACATCTCATATATATTAAGTTACCAAATTCATTACACTACATATAAGTACATGTGAAGGAAACTCAGAATAGTCTCGTCTTGCTTGAAACAGGAATCATTTTCTCGACACTGCAACAACAGATTGAATCAGAAATAGCTAATGTTAACCACTTGTTTCTCTTAAAAAACATTTGCATCATTAAAAGCTCAAGAAATATTAAGAAAGCTTGAAGAAATGTCTGTAAATCTACTAACTGTTAGAAATGGATATTTGTTTCAAATTACTTTGTCAGAAAATTGAAAATACATAAACTATTCAGAATAAAACTAAAGTTATAAACTATTTTAAAATATACATGTGCTGTAGCTTACTTAAAAGTTCTAAACCTGTGGAATTTCTTAGAGAATGTAATACATAATGGAGAAAAGAACAATAAATATATGCAATTCATTATCCTGAACTTTTATATATTTATTTTCCTTTACAATGACCTACCCAACTACAGCATAGCGAAGGCTTGTTAAATATGATTGAAAGAACTTAAATGATAGTTACAAAAATAATAAAAAATATCAATCTAGTAAGAATATTTCACAAACCAATGATTTAGGTAATGGTACAGCTGGTATAATTGAAGCCGATATTCAAATCCTGGAGCTTTTGGAATGGCAGAATGATAAGAACTGAAAAATTGCCTGGAAAATCCTCCAAACAATGTAGTTATTCCAAGCTCAAACTCTGAGTGTGCATAGAAAACTGCTGGATCAAAGATTACTGTGGAGAAATTACAGTACAGGTAAAGAAAAATACTTCAAAAACCATGTTGCTTTGAGAAGCAACATAATCTGAGCAGGGAGTAAAAAAATCTGAGCTCAATACATATATATTAATAACACATTGCAAACTGGTAACACATTTTAGTCACAAACTACATTACAGGAAGATACTAAAATACAGGAAAAAATCAAGTGTAACTAAAAGCACAGTTTAATTACAAATACAGAAGCTTTGGTCCTCTACTTTTTCATGTTTTCTAAAAAGTTACCTAAATTAACAAGCTTATTTGCTATTGTATTTTTATTGAAATACTGTAAGCTCCCATATGTATAGTGAAACAAATTTTGTATTTGATACTAGTTCATTTCATATATTTTTTAGATAAAATGTGAAAAAATCTTTACACAATTTGACAACAAGATAATTTGATAAGAGAAAACAAAACAAGACATGATATTCAATTTACTGTACAATGGTTATGCCATTATTTTTATTTTTTATTACTATATATTTTTTCTCTTATCAAATAATATTTACCTCTCTTAGACAAACACTATTTTCATTAGATAAAGATGAGAATAATAAAAAACCTTTAATTGAATTTATCAATTTTCAAAATGTTTGGGAAAATATTTTTTCCTGTTTAACTACCACATAGCAAATAACAACACATTTAAATCAGTGATACATTAAGTAGTGTTGAACATGGCATCATCATGACAGCAAATTTGACAAACATATCTAGCTAATAATCAGAAAAAAAAGAAACTGGTGAGGAACTATTGGAGGGAAGGAAAACAAAAGGGTCAGAGAAGGATGTGGATGTAAAAGAAGTTACAGTTATAGGTGATTCCTTGACAAGGCACGTGGATAGAATCGTCTGTGGATTAAATAGGTAGAAAAGAATCAGCTTATGCTACCCTGGGGCACAGGTGGAGGACAAAACTGACAGAACAGGATATATAATGAGGTGGACTGGCAAATATATGCAGTTTTTGTGGTGCATGTAGGGACTAATGATGTAGGGAAAGGTATGTCAGAGAAGTTAATTAATAAGTACAAGGGGTTGATAAATACATTTAAAGAAAAAGGCTATAACTTAATTTTGTCAGGGATACTGCCCAGAATTAACTATTGGGATGAAGTTATAAGTAGGTCATTAGGGCTGAATGCTAGGCCTAGGTTAGTATGTAAGGATGAGCAAATTGGCTGGTTGGACTTGTGGGACAGTTCAGTAGAAGAAGTCAGCTTTTTGGAATGGATGGTTTACATTTAAATAGTGTAGGGGCTGGCTTGTTTGCAAAGGTTATTAACTCAGCTGTAAGGGAAATTTTAAACTAGGACTAGACAGTGATGATGGCCAGGAAAATCTAAATCTTAGATTATGCTACCCAGGGGCATATATGGAAGATAGAACTGAAAGAGCAAGAGATATAATGAAGGGGCTAGCAATGATGTAGTTTTTGTTGTAAGAGAAGTTTTAAATTATGACAAGAGAGTGGTAAGGGCTAGGATAAACTAAATGCAAAAAAGTAAGATGTAGAGAAACATTTAGAATAGGAAATGAGTGTAGAAGTAGTTCTCAGGGTAGGCTTAACTGTTGCTATTGTAATGCTAGAAGTATAAGAAATAAAATAGATGACTTTAGAACACTGGTAGGAATGGGGGATTTTGATATAATGGGAATAACTGAAACATGGTTAAATGTAGATGATTTTCATGACAGAAATTTCTTTGAAATAGAGGGTTATAGGTTATTTAATAAGG